CTGAACAACAGATGCATGGAGCTAAGAAAAGCGTGCAATCATCCGTTGCTCAACTATCCCTACTTTAGCGACTTCTCCAAGGATTTTCTTGTGAGATCGTGTGGGAAGCTGTGGGTCCTGGATCGAGTTCTGATCAAGCTCCAGAGGACTGGGCACAGGGTCCTCCTCTTTAGTACCATGACCAAACTCCTCGATATAATGGAAGAATATCTCCAGTGGCGGAGGCTCGTGTTCAGAAGAATAGACGGGACGACCAGTTTGGAGGATCGAGAAAGCGCCATCGTGGAATTTAACAGCCCCGACACAGACTGCTTCATCTTCCTACTAAGTATCCGGGCTGCTGGCCGGGGCTTGAATCTCCAAACTGCCGACACAGTCATCATATACGACCCTGACCCAAACCCCAAAAACGAGGAGCAAGCCGTTGCCCGGGCCCACCGCATCGGGCAGACAAGAGAGGTCAAGGTTATCTACATGGAGTCCGTGGTCGACAAGATATCTAGCCACCAGAAGGAGGACGAGTTCAGGAGCGGCGGGCCCGTTGACTTGGATGATGATGACCTGGCGGGAAAGGATCGGTACGTGGGCTCGATCGAGAGCCTCATTCGGAATAACATCCAGCAGTACAAGATTGACATGGCGGATGAGGTCATCAATGCTGGCCGATTTGACCAGAGGACCACGCACGAGGAGAGGCGTATGACGCTCGAAACCCTCTTGCACGATGAGGAGAGGTATCAGGAGACTGTCCATGACGTGCCTTCTCTTCACGAGGTGAACCGAATGATTGCCAGGAGTGAGGCGGAGGTCGAGCTCTTTGACCAGATGGATGAAGAGTTTGACTGGGCGGACGACATGACGAGATATGATCAGGTGCCGGAATGGCTTCGGGCGAGCACTAAGGAGGTGAACATGACTATTTCTAATTTATCGAAAAAGCCGTCGAAGAACTCTCTCTACGCTGGAAATATTGTGGATTCAGCTGAGGTGACTCCCGGGACCACCGAGAGGAGGGGCCGGGGGAGGCCCAAGGGGAAGGTTCCGGTTTATACTGAGTTGGACGATGAAAATGGAGAATTTTCGGAAGCTAGTTCGGAGGATAGGAACGGTTATTCTGTTCAAGAAGAGGAGGAAGAGGAAGAAGAAGAAGTTGGGGATTTTGAGGATAATGAATCTGCAGAGGCGGTACCTGGGCAAGTCGAGAAAGCTGTTTCTGAGGAAGATGTTCCAGTTTCTGGTGATGGATATGAGTACCAAAGAGGTGTGGGCAATGTGAGGAACAATTATAGTGCGCTAGCGGAGGCGGGTTCGTCCGGGTCTTCTTCACATGGTCGGAAGTTGATGAACATGGTTTCACCTTCGGCTTCTTCCCAGAAGTTTGGGTCGCTTTCGGCTTTGGATAGTAGGTCCAACTCCCGTTCGAAAAAATTGGTATGTCTGCTAAATCTTTATTAATTCTTTTACTGGGATAATTACAAATAGTATAGTACCTTTGAGTTTTAGTGAATTACTGCAGAACCCAGCTAACTTTAAAAATTACTGAGAAACCCTTGAGTTTACATTCGTCCTACACTTTGAACAACTGGTCGATGAGCAATTATTGCAGGTCCCAAGCCCCAACTAACATTTTGCAGTTGCATCCCCTTAGTTTTCTATATATTACAAATAATCCCAGATTATCATCTTACATTTAGGTTTACATCCCTCGATTTTCCTATTATTGTAAATATGCAAACAAGTGTTGGGGCAATTGCTATGGAAGATTTGGGGTTGTTATTGTAGAATATGTCTGGTCAAGTAGTTGTCGGGACAAAATATATGGAATCTATCAAAAGAGTGGTTTTCTGGGAGATGTCTGAGTTTTTCTTATGAATACCACAAATCTAATGGATAGTTTTTGTAGTTATCCATCTATATTATAACAATCTTTGCAATCTGTTATTTATCTCACATGCTACTAAATTTAATTTGCAGGTGGATGAATTAGAAGAAGGGGAAATTGCTGTATCTGGAGATTCGCCTACGGACCAACAGCAATCTGGTAGCTGGGCCCAAGATCGTGATGAAGGTGAAGATGAACAGGTCTTGCAACCGAAGGTAAAACGAAAACGGAGTATTCGGCATCGGCCACGGCATACTAGAGAAAGGTTAGAAGACAGGCAGATCGAGAGATCTCATTTCTCTCAGTCACCATTCCAGGCAGAACATAAGTCGCAAGCAAGGGATGACCGTGTGCATAAAGGTCTTGGAGATACCAGTTTATTGAAAACTGAAAGACATGATTCATCTGTCAAAAACAAACGCACTTTGCCCTCGAGGAAAAACACAGCTAATGTGCTGCAGGGTTCTATTAAACCTGGGAGAGTAAGTTATGGATCTGCTCCTCCAGGTGATGCTATTGAACATGCTAGAGAAGACAGTAAAGTCATGAAAGGGCCCAAAAATAGTGGCATTAGGATGCCCGAGGCCATCCAGAGAAAGGTATGATTCTCTTGGAACTTTTGTTTTGTAACATCTGTTCGGAACTGTAGTTGCGTGGCTAATCCTTATTATTTTCCTTTCGCTTTATTTTTTTTCTCATGGATTGGATAAAGATCACAACACTTACTATCCTACTGTAATATTTTGGGCGACTGGTGGTTTTCCGTTTGTATTCTATATTAAGTCGGATCACTCAGTGTTTGTTTCTTTCTCATTCTTTTATAATGTAATTTTGTTGCAGTGCAAGAATATTATAAACAAGCTCCAGAGAAGAATAGACAGTGAAGGCCATCAGATAATACCAATGCTAACTGAATTGTGGACAAGAATTGAACACTCAAGTAGGGCTGGGGATAGCCTTTTGGATTTAAGAAAGATCCATCTCCGTCTTGACAAATCAGAGTATAGTGGCGTTATGGATCTTATATCTGACGTGCAGTTCATGTTGAAATGCAGCATGCGGTATTACGGGTTCTCATTTGAGGTATTATGAGACTATATTCTACTTGTTGTTTTAATCAAATTTTAGTCTGCATTGTCTCAATGTACTGTCATATGAGTGTATCTTGTAAAAGTAAATAAATTGCTATTTGATGAGAAAATTCAAAGGAGGGCATTCAATTAATTAAGCCTGTTGTCCTTAGTAAAGTTTGAAATAGCACTTTGTATTCAGAGAAGAAAAGAGACAAATGAAACTGAATTTCATAAACTTCTGGCGTTCACCACTGAGTGTTGTTTTTTTTAACTATTTTGCTTGTCTAAATCGACTGTGTAATCATTAGAGGAATAATTACAAAATTATCCAGGTTAAACTTGTATAATAACACCTGGAATTTTTTCTATTATTGTTAGTTCTTCGCTTTCCTTCTCTTTGCGTGTGTACGTGCATGTATTTTGTTTTCGTTTGTGAACGTTCTGTATACATTGTTAGTTAGTTACTAGACTACAGATCTTTTTGAGTTTATCTAAACAGATACTGATCTAACGTAAATAGGTGAGGTCCGAGGCTAGAAAAGTCCACGATCTCTTTTTCGACATCTTGAGCATAGCCTTTCAAGAAATGGACTTCCGAGAGGCTAAAACTTCTATGTCCTTCTCCGGGCCCGGTGTAGGTACACCAGCCACCGGCCAATCTTCCAGACAGATGCCAGCCGGTCAATCCAAGCGTCATAAACAGGTTAAAGATCTCGATACCGAAACTACCCCTCTTCAGAAACCCTACCAAACTCGATCCCCTGTCCAGACTGGCGAAATCCCGAGGCTGAGGAGTCACATGCAGCAGAAGGAATCGAGGCTTGGGCCTGGGCCTGGGCCCGGGCCCGGTATCGTCCGTGACCCGCCTGACGACGAGCGCCCATTCGCTCATCCAGGGGACCTCGTCATCTGCAAAAAGAAGAGGAAGGATCGAGAAAAATCGGGCGGGAAGTCGGGCAGTGGGTCAGGTGGTCCCCTTTCGCCAACTGGGATGGGCCGTGGTATGAAAAGCCCGGGTTCGGGCCAACAGGGCCCGGCCCAGCATGGGTGGGCCGGTGCACTTTCACCCCAACAGGGTAACAATAGCAGTGGTGGTGGGTCACTTGGGTGGGCCAATCCTGTGAAAAGGATGAGGACCGATGCTGGAAGACGACGCCCAAGCCATTTGTAAAGTTCTGACTTTTCTTTTTTTTTTACTGTGGCTGGATTGTATCGAGTGTCAGTAATTTGATGGGATTTTATAAGGTAAGTGGAATTGAGATGGTTGAATGAGGGATAATATAATACTGTGTAATTGAGAATGTAATGGATTCTTGTACCTGGTGCTATATGTTGTCTTGCTATTGTTGTGGCAAGTTTATTAGATGGCTCAATCGGATTGTTTGTTATTGTGTTTATATGTAGATTCATAGTTCTGTTTGATGGTCTTAGAAAGTTACTGTTGGGGTTGAACTTTGAAGGTTTTTTCCTTTCACTAATAGGTAGACATGCATAAGGTGATTGCTATGGTAACTATTTGCATAGTCTCTATTTTTGTTATATGATTATTCAATTCTTCAACGAATCTTGCAGAACTATGTGCAGTCTTTCTATGTTGTCAAATTACATTAGAGTTGTTGAACAAAAGTTGTAGTCTATTTTGTTATGATTGTTCAGTTCTTCACTGAATCTTGCAAAACTATGTGTAGTTTGTTTCTATTTTCTCAAATTACTCCCTCGAAAGTAGAGTTGTTGAATAAAATGAGCCATCAGCTCATAATACATTAGGCAATTTTTGAGTAATATTCTAAACTTAGCAACATTATTTGACTTGTTGAGGATCTTTTTTCTTTTTTTGGTCTTTTTTTATTTTTTGTGGTAGTTTCTTGAACTTTTAATGTAATAAAAAAACTCGCACCTCGTTTATAGCTTTATCATTAGTAAATGAAGATGTTGATTTTTGTTTTTTTGCTTTTCAAAATTTTACTGCACACAAGCGTGCGTGCGCAAACACATACACACACTCCATATGAAGCATAGAAAAGTAGAGCTTGTAAGAGGCAAGAGATCGAAAATACAGATCCATACATTACCAGCACACATTCGAGCTTGTAGACAATGTGAAACGAGTTGTTGGACAAGACAATACATACACTTACATCACGCGAGACTTACGAATGAGGTACGATTCATTTTCACTTGCATCCATATAAATGAATTGTTATTTCTTTCTAACTATGTGCAATAAGTAGATCTCGAATAGAGATTAGACTGTAATATTAATGTACAACAACAATTAGATGGATGAGCCAAAAAGATTGTGAAGGACTTTCATGGATCAGCTTTCCCAACAATGGCCTCGTCACTAGAGTCATATTCGTTCTCACTCATCTCATCATCGCTTGATTTCTCTTCTTCGGGAGCACCTATATCTTCCGGCTTGGCATATTTTTGACAATATTCTGCACAATAAATGATATAGTATTATATGTTACACATAATAATAAAGACTTGCGTTTGACACCTAATCGCGAAAACATCACGATAAGAGTACATAACAAGTGAAGGGAAAAATATAGAAAACATGACCATGACAAGTACAATGAACAAATTCTCAAGAATGACAAAGTGCATTGTTTCCCCCTTTTCTCTTATCATTCTCTCTTCTTTTTTTGAGAGCAGGATATTGCAATTAACATGGAGTTTCAAGATTTTGCATCAAGCTTGATTTGTCTCATCATACGATCTATTGTGAAACTTTTTGAAGAACGTATTGTCATTCAGTTATACTTATTTTGTCAAATCATCAACATTGTCCAATCATAATCATAAGAGAAGAACTTCACACGGATGACCATCACTTTTGAAATGTCATAAAAAACTATTCACTGACTATTTAAATTACTAACTAGTAACTACATCTGACATATAAATTTCTAATCTTTTATAATCATCAAATTCGAGATCTTTCCTTTTTCATTGTTCTCATAGTCCCTTCCATGTTCCATCTAGATTCACTAGACATTGACGCAAAAAATACAGAGAGAATAAAAAAAAAAAAGAAACAATAACCAGTATAGACAACTTCTATCTTGGAGGATCATACATTGAAGGAATTAGTAGAGATTGAATCTTTAGTACCTTTAACTCGTTGCTCATATGCAGTCCGGTCACGCATCATTAGAGCTGCAGCCTCACCATTCAACGGGTCAGATGGATTTGGATACAAAAGTAGTTGTGGCAAAAATACCTCAAACACATTCACCAAATCTGTTGTTGAAAGAAAAAAAAATTATATAATTATCATGAATCAACAATTTTCATAATTATACAAAATTACTCCTGCTGTTTAGCCTAATATAACAATATAAAAGAAAGTTGTATTCTTTCGAAAAGAACAAACACACCATTGGAATCTAATTCTTAACAAATTGGAACACATTAGAGAAAAGCACTTGTTAGGTAGCTTCAAGTGGTTATTGGTAATCTTGAGAGACC